AAGGATCGAGAAAATCGTATTTAAGAATGGAATACCACCCAGTCTTAATTCAGAGTTACCTAAAAGTGTACTCTTCAAGGGATACCGAGTTGTCATAACCTGTTCTAGATTGAAAACATGGAATAAGGTGATGTTTTACGTTTTTCGTTTCTGCATCTAATAGGGATAATGAGAACATACATCAACATGTAGTGTGTAATGTAATTTTGTCTGGTAAGTAGTACATGTTTTCCATGTTCAACAGTCGACAGATCTTTCGGATGCACAACCTGTAGCACACTGGGCCACTAAGCGTCCCACGTCATGTTTTAACCATTTGACATTATGCATGATATGCCAGAACAGGCGTTAACAGAATTTCTAAAATACGGTAATTTGAAACTTACACGAGGAGCTTCCTTGCCACACCATAAGCACTTTATTCATATATATTGAAGCTCTACCTGTATACACCTAAAATTAGAAATATTAAACAGAACCTCAAAAATCATGTCGTTTCACGCTATGCGATCTAAAATTACAATAACAAAATACTTTCACTGTTGAAATAGTGCTCAATATTTCAATTGTATAGCGATCTAGAAATGCACTCCTAAAATTAGATATTTAATACTTGATTTCACAGAATACATACTGTACATTTTCACCCTAATCAATCTTGACAGTCCGCAATTAGATATTTTGTTGCAATCAACATCATGGCCGCCTTGTCACGTGAATAGTGAGCAGGTTTTTTTTTACCAAGTAATAGTCTGACACCTGTTGATTTCTACCTAGTTTTGATAGAGCAAATTCACAAAAAAATAAGGATGTTTTACCCCAGTGGGAAAATTCCTCCGCATAACATAATTTTCCTGCATATGCTAACTGATCCGGCTCATCTTGATTGAATAAAGGTGATTTGATTGCTTATCTACCCATGATCCTTCAAGTCCTCATTCCCATCAATGATTTAAATTAATTCTCAACCAGATTCATTGGAAAATTGTGAAAGAGGTGATGCTGTATAGCTATACCATATGAGACACGACTTGTAATTGGCTTGCGAAAGTGGGATTTATTTCTATTAAACTCGCACTCTTTTTCTAAATCAACTAGGTAGAAGTCAACAAATATCTGAATATTATAAAATGAGAATGACTTACCGCCATTTGTTCCAAGAGAGGCTGGGTGGACATGATATGGCAGCTTAGCCGAGTATAACCTAGGTGGCCCTAGCAAGGTAGCCCATAGGCTGCCACAACTAAACGACACGCGAGCCCAACCCGTAAACGCGAAAATTTTGCTCCTTGTGAGCTACCTCCAAAAACCTAGGTTGTACACCATATCTAACCATGTTGTCCGTAGCTAAAGACGAGCTACTATACTTGAAACACTGAAATATAAGAAAACATCACAATAATACAACCATTAAATAAACTTTTTGTTTACATGTGTAATAATTTGGCCCATTAAAACTGACGTATGAACATAAATGTCACTGGGACTCAACAGGATATAATTCATTATTTTTCTTTTCTGATCAAACTCACTTCAAACTATCTGTAACACTTTTCAGAATCATAATCTAAAGGTTGGTTCAATCTAGTAAGCAAAATTGTACCAATGGAAGATAAAGTTGTTGTCACTTGCATTTGTCTAGTAAAAATCTCACATGTAGCTAGTATCAAATGACTATATCATGACATCTGTTGCATCAAAGGTTATCAGACTACATTGAACATTCTTGATACATCATTTTCAAGAAAGGATTATATGCATACGGTTTATTTGTATAGTGCTAAATTTTATACTGTTATAATGTACATCTATGATACTAACCTCCACGGGAATGGTCTCCCAACTATGGTGTATTAACTCAATAGTAAAAGCCACTATTGAGCACCGTGGCCTGAAACGAAAAGACAAAATCATCAAAATCTAAATGTTATCGATGTGTTCATTTGACAGATAGTGGCGAAGATGTGTAACATATTAATATTATGTTGAATAGTTACGCATCCTTTTTGAAAAAAAACTGTTCTTCTGTAATTGCATGTTAAATTAACCATTACACTGGTTAAAATTTCATGAAGCGTTTCGACGTGTTTCCCCCATGGTCGTCAGGCACATAAAGAATCTTGGACTATTTATATAGACATTTAGGGGATTATGATGAAGAGATATGAAGAGATGTTATGAAGCGGATTATTTGTGAATTACATTATTTTCTAACTAAAGTGTACAGCATTCTGAAAATATTATATTGAGCTGAAATTGTCATCGGCATATGTCTATCAGCAGTCAAAGGTTTATCGGTGTCTGGGTCGCCTCATTCTCTCACTAATTAGTTTAGGAGGCTGGAGGGGTGGGGAGGGTTAAACAAAATAAGGCAAGGCACTTTCCTTCATTTTAATAAAGCGTATAAAAGTAATGTGAGAAAAGGGGGCCAAAGAATTCCGTCTTTTCTATTCATATTCCTTATTTTGAGTCCTAGCTAAAAGCCAAGCTTTGCTTCATTTTTATCTCAAAAACAATTTGCAATGGATTTTTGCAATGAGTCTTTCCATTAATATACAATAAATACTACTTTTTCAAATCGATCTAAAATTTCAGAGAATTTCAAAAAGTCGACTTACCGGTTGCTATAAACGAAGCAGACTGACTGAGCGAGTAGTCACTAGTAACCAGTGAATTTTAGTTACTAATTGTCTTGATTACTATTCTTTTAACCTTCTACATAGTCCGAAACGTGTTGTTTCTTTCTTGCCTCTAGTAAAGGCAATAGTCGCATAATTTTTAAAAATGGCTAAAAACTAATTAGAAAAACAATTATTTCTAATACCTATAGAACCTAGAATACCAAACTACAATAGTATCTATAAAGTTTCCAGAGAAAATCTATTAAAACAATCTCTAAAATAATCTGTCCTTATAAAAGAATTATGGGCGTTATTCCCGAAAAAGACCACAGAACTAAAAAAATTACCAAACTGCCGTCGACCGCATCGTTTCTCATGCCCTGTCCTGGGCCCGTCGCTCCTATGGGAAACGTCTCACTCAAGCTGTAATCTCCAAATTCTACCAAACAATCAACGAAACAAAAACCAGAGTAACCATATCTCTACCAACTGAAATGGACACTACATCTGCACCATCTAGAGCCACCACGCTGCCGAACCAAACCCCTAAACGAGCCCGAAGTTCACCTACTCCTAGTCCAGCAGACATAGGTAAACGCTCTCGTAGAGAGGGCACACCCCTTCTCTTTTCACTTTCAGACTCGTCTTCCCCTTCCACACCATCTGAATCTTCACCACGTGATCCAGGATCCGCCAACCTTTCTTCCTTCTGTGCGTTTTTGGACCAGCAAACCACCCCTCAGTCCCCCTCCTCGAACCAGATCCCAGTCCGTTCCCAATGCTACAATTCTAACAACTACCAAACCAGTACCAATCACACCGTCGACGACCATTATATCCGCTACCAAACCGTATTATCACCAAACCAAGGACAAATCATTATGGAAACTACCTGCTCTAAAGAAATCAACCTTAATAATTGGATCATCTAACCTGAATCGAATTACCAAAACCAGTTCAGACACCGAAATACATTCTTACCCTGGTGCCCAAATCCATCACATACAGTCAATCCTGGAATCATACGACCATGATCCCAAACCTACTACCATTATTCTTCATGTAGGCCTCAACAACCGTGATCAGATACCAAAGACCTCCTTTAACCAAGCCCAGAAATTAATCGCCACAGCCAACAAAACCTTCCCAAACTCCAAGATCCTCTTCACATGTATACCCATTTCAAATAAAATCTCGAAGAAAGCACAACCGAACCTCAGCACCCTCAACAACATGATGATGGAGTCCAGTATCAACAGCGCAACAATCTTACCACCCTACGAAGAAGAATTCGAAACAGTTGATAATCTTCATTGGTCTCTAGAAACAGCAAACAGCATCTATTTGTTTTGGATACACCAGCTTCAAGCATCGAGTAAGTCTTCAAACTAATTACTGGGGATAAAAATACTGAGAGGCCACCGCTAGGCCAAACTGTAGTTAACTTGAGCCGCAAAATTCTCACACCCCTTCAGCATTCAATCTTAGACCGTGGACTTAAGTTTATTCCCACACCAAAGATAGCTAACTTATCTCCGACCATCCATTGAACGATTTCAACGAAATCTTAGCTGCACATATTTTTTTCGAAACCACCCCCCACGTGGTGCTAGAACAATGTTTATTCCTAAATCCACGTGGACACCCCCTCAGGCCGCCATCCATCCTGAAATATTGAAAGCATTTGCGAGTATGAATAGCCAAACAGTGAACCTTTCCATAACACACGAAAAGCCTAATCTCACACGAGTGGAACGTGAAGCGTTAAACTTACTTAAAAAAGACGATAGCATTTTTATTAAAAAGAGTGACAAAGGTTCATGTTGTGTCATTCTGAATAGGGAGGATTACGTTTCAGAAGCAGAGAATCAACTGAATAATCCTAAACATTATGCCATTTTACCGAAACCAATTTTCAAAGAAACTGCTAACATGATTAATAATATTCTTGCCGATTTAGTCAAAACTAGTTATCTCAAACAGAAACAATATGACTATCTGTCTGCCAAACCTGATTGTCGCGAGAGACATTTGTACACTTTGCCTGAAATCCATAAGAATCCAACCAAGGAGTGGTTTATCTCGAATAAAATCCCTAAAGGCCGCCCGATTATATCTGACTGTGGTAGTGAGTCATATGCAGTGTCAGAATACATTGATCATTTCTTACTACCTCTAGCATGCCAACATCGCGCCTACCTTAAAGACACAACCGATTTTGTCAATAAAATAAAAAATCTTCGAGTTCCCTCTAATGCCATTTTAATTTCTATCGACGTTTCTTCTATGTATACCAATATCGATAACACTACTGGTTTAACGGCAGTTCGTAAGGCTTTTAATAGAAACCCAGATCCAAACAGACCCGACGATGCAATTCTACAGCTTTTAGAGATTTAGTCTTAGTCGGAACGATTTCACATTTAATGGTAAAACATATTTACAAACTTCAGGGACAGCAATGGGCAAACGATTAGCCCCTTCGTACGCAAACCTTTTCATGGCAGAGTGGGAACGTGAGGTGTTGCCCCTCTGTCCATTTGACCCACTTTTTTACGGACACTTTTTGGATGACATTTTTATGGTTTGGACTTATTCTATCGAACAGTTTTGGGAATTCTTTGAAATTCTCAACAACCACCATCCTTCTATCAAACTAACCGCAAACGTGAGTGACAAAAGCATAGACTTTCTCGATACCACAGTCTTTAAGGGAGATTCCATAGCAGAAACAAATAAACTGGATATTAAAGTGTATTTCAAAGAAACTGATACTCATCAACTCTTGCACAAGAGCTCCTTTCACCCAAAACATACCTTTTCTGGTATAATTAAGTCACAAGTTTTACGATTTCATCGAATTTGTACAAGATCTTCTGATTTCAACCAGGCCTGTACGATTGTTTTCTCAAAACTGAAAGAGCGTGGGTACTCTAAACGATTTTTACGAAACATAAATAATTCCACCTTAGCACAGATAGCAGCTAAAAACAGACTTTAAGCCGAAGTATCTCCAGGTTTAAGAAGTGCTCCATGTTTGTCCAGTAGATGC